TAATACATGGCCTTTAGCTTAAGTTTATATACATCAAAGAGTAGCTCAAATGATGTGAAATGAAAGATTCAAAGCCTCACTCAACTACAATAAACACAATAACATAGTTTGATAAGGATGGAGATAATTGTATTGAATCTATGCTATGTGCCTATGATTTATAATATTTAATGCATGATTTGATAAATGCTTGCTTTCATATATGCAAAAATAAGATATTATATTCAAATTAGTGAACACTTTACACATTAATCACCAAGCTACTTGATAGAATTTGTCTTAACTTTGTTAAATGCTTAGATTGATTAATATTAATGCCTGATTTTTTATTGCTTTGATTAATAGTTTTTATTGCATAAATATTCGTTTGAATCTTTAAACATGGATGTGAATTAAATAGATTGATTTCTTTGAACATGTGCATTGATTGAGATCATTGAGATAGCATGTAACACATTATGTCTAAATGTTTGTATCTCTATTGATATATTGCTATACGTGATTTAAAATATTTTTGCATATGCTTGTATAATTTTGATTGAAATATATATTTAGACATTTGCATATGTTTAGATTAAGTTCATTGTTATGCATTGAAATAAATAAGAATATATTTGAATAATTATGCCTTCATTATTTTTTTGCTATAGCATATGTGCGCATCATATTTGAAAAATCATGCTTATATAATCTTTGTTAGGCAATGATGATTGAATCTCATTACTCATTAGTACTTATGATTTATTATATACATATGAGCTTTGGGTTCTTGTTTGGATAAGATAACTTATAAAATATTACTATTATCATTTTTTATATGCTTAAAGTATGTGTGCTCTATGAAAGTTGTTGAATAAAATTGCTAATAATTAATATCAAAATCGTTAAAGATTTTTTTAACTTTCTTAGATGCTTATTTATGTGCCTATCATTGATATAGCTTGTACTTTTCATGCAAAATTGTATGCGTCTTAAATTAATTAATTCTTATTTTAAAAAATAAGAAAAATCTTAGAATATAATTTTGCTTGATTTGTTTTGTGATAACAATTAGTATGCTTTGTGATAACATATCTTTAACAATTAGTTTCCTTAACATTTAGTATAAGCTTGTTAGTATTTGCTTGAATGTTTGTTTATATGCTAATGATGTTTTAAATTCTAAATACATTTTATGAAAATATGATGTATTCTTTTATCTCTTTACTCATAACAATCATGATATGAATGATTTTGTGTCAAAATGCTAAAATTGGATATTTTTATATTATTATGCGTTTGTGTTTGAATACATGTATTTGAACTTGATTGTGAACATCACGTGATTACATGTATTCAAAAATACTTTTAATATTATTGGTATCATGCATTTTGTCATATGCCTTAAATTGATCTCTCTTTCTTTTGCTATGACAAAAAAAGAGAGAGTTTATGAATATTTCTTCTTGTATGCTTATAGTAATGTATATATGAGTTTAAGCATTTGGTATAAAAAGCTTAAACAAAAAAGAAGGAAAAAGGTTTCATGAATATATATGTTAATGATGCCTCTTTGTGTTTATTTGTTTATTAATATGCTCATGCCTTTTTGCTATGACAAAAAAGAAAAAAAATATTATATGAACAAATTTACTTGTGCTTGATGTGCATCTGTTTAATTGTGCTTGTTTGATATATTTGACTAATATATGTTTATTGAGTTGTGTTAGATTAAGATACATAAATTAAGGAGAAGTTTTGCAATGCATTGTTTAAGGGAAAATTTTTCAAAATCTTAAATGTTTCAAAAAAAGTATTTTTTTATCAGGTAAATTTATCTTTAAGTTTTATCATACAAAAAGGAAAGAGATTGTTACTCTTGAATTAATCTTTATTTTGAAATGACAAAACATTAAACTAAATAAGCTTGATCAAAATTTTGAAAAAGATTTATTTAGTACATATTCTTAAGTTTTATATTTTGGTACTAAATAAATAATATAATTTTCAAAGTTTAAATAAATTTTTCTTTGTTTTCATATTTCTCAAATCAAAACTATCTTTAAATATTATTTATTTAAGCTTAAATAAAAATTCAATTGTTTTTTTAAAAATCAATTTATTCATTTTAGACTCAATATAATTTTGATAATATTGATTTTGAGAAATAGATTAACTTAAAAAAATTATTTTACAAGAACAAAGTTTTTTAACATTGAACTTGTTTTATTTTTCTGTATTAATTCACAAAGTTTAATATTTAAATTTTATATGGGTGAAAAGCTTTTTGAGTCTACTTTCTAATGGATCAAACAAAATCAAAATCTAAATTTTTTAAGAAAAGATTTTGAATTTTTAGTAGATACTTTGCAGTTGTCTAAAAACTGCACAAAGGGTAATTTTGAAATTTTATCATAATTCTTATAAAATGAATTAGGTGATGAATTTTATATAGATAAAAAGTCATTTAAATTTAATTTTTAAATTTTCAAACGATTTTTTATTTGGAATTGTGTAACTTAAAATATGATCAAATTAGTGAATAGAGTATAGAACAGGATACAACAGAGTAGCTTGAATGGATTGATCCTTTGGGTTACAAGATCGATCCCCTAGTTGAACCAATCGATGGAGTCCCTTACTTGATCGATCAGGTCTATCCAGAAATGTGCGTAACGGTTAGTTTTTCAAGCTTCCAACTGGCATTTCTTCTTCCAAACAATCTCCAACGGCTAGTTCTTCAATTCCTCTATAAATTGGGCACTCTAACACACCAAGAAGATTGATGAATCAAAAGAGCAAGATCAAACAAGTTATATTTTCATTCTTTCAAAGAAATCAAGAGTTTTAGAACTTAAATTCAATATCTTTTGTATTTTTTGTATCCAAAATATTGTTGTTGTTCATTCATCAAATTTATTTGTACTTTATTAGGCAAACACTCAACCTTGAAAGGTATTTTAGTTTGCAAAAATCATTTAGGTTATTTTATAAGGAATATGTGAGATGTCTTCTTGATATTGTAAGTGTTAGGTTGCTATCTAAGCTTTAAGAAAAAGATAAAGTTGTAATTTCAATTTAAAAATAGTGCATTGAAGTCTTGGTACGGATAACCAAAAAGAGAGGATGTATGTACGTTGTGGGGAAGCACCGAATCTTTATAAATTCTTGTGTTTGATTTCTCTATCCATATCTCTTTACTTTGCATTTGGTTTAAAATTATCAATTTATTGTTATTTGCATCATATTTTGATATTGATTTTAATTTTTCATTCAATTATTTTAAAATCATTGTTTAGAAGAGCTTGGAGAAATTCAATTCATTTCCTCTTAAATCACCATCTCACCTAAAAAGCTAACAAAAGGCTAAGGTTGCTATAAATTCAACCTACATGAATCTCTAGATTCTTGATGGAAGTTTCTTGCTCTTTAAGAAGGATTTCTTGCATTTGAAGCATAGTGGACTGTTGAGATGCAATTGTGTTGAGCATCTCTTCCAAGGATTGCTTTTGCTTTTAAAGAGGAAAAAATTGTGGTGATAGGAATTACTTTTGCTTGTCTTCAAGCAAAATAAAAATCATGCTAGAGCCAAATTTGACTTTGTAAAGATCAATCTACAATAATTTCCACAAAAATTACATAGTGATTATAGCTTAAAAAAAATCATAAACAATGGCTAACACAAGACTTACTCGTAAATAACTACTAATTGAAGTTTCATTATGTGTGCAATGTTCATCACACTTCATCACATGAAATTAGTTGTAATAATGCTACCAAGAAATCAAACAAAGCATCATCAAAGAACAAGCATATATCATAATTTGCCTTTCACATTTCTCTCCACTAATGTAAACATGCACACAACCAAGGATCCTTAAGTCTTTACAAAGCTTGTAATGTTAGGCTAAAGAATAGTCCCCATTAAATTCAAGAGTTTTCCCAAAAATAGTCTCTATTGTTTTTTTTTTTTTTCACAACCAAATGTCAAAGGAAGACACATAAAAGTCAAGTCAAGACCACAAAAATTACAATCTTTCACCAATGACGTTACAACAAGAAAATTTCCAATGCACAGGTTTGGCTCCCCTTGTTTTCTCCTTCTTTGCCGAATCTTTTTTGTCAAATTACAGATTATTTGGCTTCCATTTTGTCTTCATTTAAGCTTTAATTCAAGCTTGAAGCTCCTCCAATAAGCCTTCATTTTTAATCCAAGTCAGGCGCCAGGTGTCAAGTAGCTTTAATATGTCTCAAGCTGGGGGTGTTCGAGATCCAATCAATGGAGGTAAATGGCACCATTTTAGCTCTACCTTCGCTTGGCTAAACAGCTGGTATCCCTCTTTAATGCATGATAAAAAATAAATGAAGGCATGAAGTACACATTGTCCTCGATGTGTGGGCAATATAAAAATTAAGTGCAAAAGGTGAACACAACTCTCCTGATTGCTTGTTGATTGCCATTTTAACGCCTCCAGGATCGACAGCTGTTATTATTACTACAAAACAAGAAACCATCCCCAAAACTGATTAAAACATGCAGAAAAAAATTTAGTGCAAACCGAAGCTGGTAAAATGCAAATACACTAGACCTATGGCCTAGAATGCTATGCAAAATTGACCCTACCTAAGGAATTTACAAAAATTACTTTTTTACCTTAAAATAAACTTAAAAATAAACAAAAAGATGCATGTGACTTTTCCCTAAAACAGAACACAAAATGCAAAAAATTAAATGTAAACCGAAATACTATAATGCATGAAAACTAAGACCTATCAACTAAAATGCTTGGTAAATGTAACCTTACCTAAGGAATTTGCAAAAACTGTTTCACTAGCCTAAAATAGACATGAAAACATTAACCTTACACATACAAACTAAGGTAAACTATGAAATGGTCTCCTGACATTAGCCATTAATAGGCAGAAGCCTCTAATGTAGCATAGATTGTCTAATTTGTCTAAAGTACACTTCACTTTAAGTTCATAGAAGATTCTTGCTGATTTGTTTGTTTTACTTTCAGGCTGCCAAGAAGAGCAGTGGTTTAAAGTATGATATATTTGGATGGATAATCCTTTCTGTTGGCATTGTTGCATGGGCGGGAATAGCAAAATCCCACGTTCCTCCACCTCCTCCAAGATAAACTCCTTGCTTCACTAATCCTCGAGGTAACCATTCTGGTAATTTTGGTTGAAGGTTCATACTTGTTCATTAGAAGGTTCACCTGGTGCAATTGTAGTAATTGGAGCAAGAGGCTTGTTGTCACATTTTGATTCTGATAATGTTTTCTTTTTCCTTGCTATTATTACAATTTGATTAGGATGGCTATCTTGGATATTGATTATGAATTTAGAGTAATAGATATAGTGAATATTTTTCTTTAGAATGTTTCGTTCTTGACCTTTGATCATTTCATTTATGGAGGGATACACTGTGTTTCTAATAATATTACAGTAATTTCTTTCGGCTGCTGCAAGACACAATGCAATTTGGAATTGAAGAATTCTTTCTTATTCCTTACAAAGAAAGGGATCAAATTGAATCAAATCAACATAATAAAATAGTAGATGAAGAAGGGAATGGCTAGCATTGTTGCCAGAACAGTAAACAGTGAATCTGTGTTCAGATTTAGCATATAGGATCAAAGAGAAAGAAGGAAAGAATTCATCTTACATGCAAAGATGTTTGAACTTTAAATTGACCTTTAAAAGTTCAGATCAAGTTGGTCCAACCCAGTTCAACCATTACTTCCATTGGATTGGGTTTCAACGGCTTTTAGTTACCGTCTTTAAATATGAACTGGCATGGATAGCTAAAGGGATTTTAAGATGTCTATCATATAGACTCTATCTAGTTCATTTTTTGTTGCCTAAAATTTTCATGCTGAGAACCTGCATCATGCTATTTTCAGTTGGGATTAATGCATGCAGTAATGTTCTATAATAAAGTGTCTTTCAGAGTATATGCACAGTTTGGCACATTTATTTTAAAATACTATTAAAAATTATTTTTATTGATATTTTAGTATTTAAATAAAAACTAATTTTAAATTTATAAAAATAATTAAAAAATAATATTCTAAGTCGGGTTTGGGTTTGACATGTCCTATTCAAGGCCTGACAATCAGGCCCGAGACCCTGGTGGACTGTCTAGTTTTAAAGATCATAAAGCTGTTTATTTTATGTTAAATATTAAGGTGAAATACATTTATTTCTTTGGTTTGACAAAAAAAAAAAAAAAAACCCTTTCGCTGAAAAACGCCTTCTTATATTCTGGTTTGATAAAAATCAACACTGACCCTTTTGAGGTATATTTACTAAGTTAATTTTAAATGAAAAACAAGTGTACCTTTGTTAATTATTAATTATTTATTGCTCTATTTTTTTTTCTTTCTTTCTCATATGAAAACATTTTTTAACTACAAAATAATAAAAATTTAATTAATTTAAAATTATTTTTAATTACTATCAAATTAAATTTTAATTAAGTTATATTATAATGCAAGTGCGTATTAAATATTTTAAATTTATCTTTAATTCAATTATACATTAACTTTGAGAAAAATGTAATGTGTTATTTTTAAAATAAATTAACTAAAATAAATTTTTTGTGATAAAAAATTGAATAAAAATAAAAAAATTTGAATATTTAATGTATTCTCATGGTCATCTTAAATATGCATATTGACGTTTGTGGATTTTTATGTTTGGTATCTGAAATTGGGATTGTCAATGGGAAGAAGAGAGTCCTTGTTTGATTTGCAATACCCCTGCTGTAAGTACGTTTCCTTTTGCTTATTCTCAAGATAGCTTGATCCATATGGATCATATCTGTTGATTAAAGCATTTCGTTTTATGAATTTCAAACGGATTCCTTAATTTCTGATCACATGCATTCCCAAAAGAACATGGGCAACAAAATTTGCTTTTTATATATCGATATTGTTTTGCAAAATTATATATTGATTTAGGTCCTCTTCATAATACCTCGTATGTATGTGTTCCTTGTTGACAACTGATTTTCTTTGGTCTGCAAAACTGTTCAAGATTAAATCAGAAGCAACTAAGCCTGTTGCTTTATTCCTTTTTTTGTTTGATTATTTCTTTGTTTCCTAAGTGACAAGTTCTGTTCACCATATCATAATTTTATCTGACTAACATAATTATCCTTCTTAGCTCTACTATTTTTCTAGTTTAATTTTGGGATTACGTCACCAATAATTTTGAATTATAATAAAATATTTAATATGATTCTTAAATTTTAAAAATATTTAATGTGATACTGAATATAAATCTGTTAATTAATATAATACTCAAAGAACTTGAGTTAAAAATATTAGGAGTAAGTATTACATTAACTAATAGATTTATAATTTAAATTTTATATTAAAAATTTTTAAAATTTAAATATTACATTAAATATTTCATTATAATTACTATTACTGACATTAATGTTTACTTTTCTAACTTCCTCAGAGCACATCTAGTATTTGCTCCACCAAAATAAGTGGAGTTGTCTATCTTTATCAGGCTTCATTATTGGAGGATACCTCTTTTATGGTCCTTGCCCTGCCTTTAGCCTCCCTTTTGGTGGGATCCAACATAGGTTGTTCATTCCTTGTCAGGAATGACACATGGCTTCCCTCATGCATTTCTTATATTATCACAATCATAAGTGATTCTAGGCGTCTCTGGACCGTTTGGACCATTTCTTATCCTGCATTTTGTTGTCTTACCTTAAAAAAGATCCACATTTTTTTTGTCCTCTGTTCTTTACACCCTTCTGACCCAAGAACGATGAATGTGCTTAGTTTTTGACCTCCAGGATCATTGAAAGAGTATCTGAATGCCTACAACTTTGGTAATTATTCTTGCAGATTATAGGCTTTCTATGATGCACAGGTTACATGTCTAAAGCTGTTTCTAGTCTAATTCTAGAAGTGACTTTATGGATGGTATAAAGGGGGATTTGTCTTGGTCAGTTGAGTTCGATGTTGGTTTTGGCCACTAGCAGATTCTAAAGTTCTGACCAATGAAACCTTAAAAATTGGGGAGTTGATTGTGTACTATTGTCTTAGTATGTGCAACTTAGGTCTAATTAAATAAGTTTTCAGTTGGATATAGCGGAGTTATCTTGCTAGGTTCAACCCCACCACTTTCTCCTCTTGGAATGATGCTAATGGTGTAAGTTGGCCAATGTGTGCTGTACTCCTTGCCGTTAGTGGAAACAAATCTTGCCAGGCAAATTTGTGGGAATGGCTTCATGTATGGAAATTCGGAAGAAGCATGATGATAAATGATAATATTAAAGTAACAAAAGCTAACAAAGCATTCCACTTTGGTTGGCTTTTCGGGCTCAAGAATGCTCCCAGAAGGGTCTGCTGTAGATTCTTTTTTTTTTACCGCAAATATATCTTGATTTCTTCCAAATAAATCATCTTTAATAGGTTTTGCTTTTGTCAAAGATTTGTTTTAAGTTTACTCCGCATATCCGGTTATGCGCTTCTTTTCTCGAATAGATACAAGGCCATTCAAGTAATGTAGGAGTGGCTGTTCCTTGCAACCAATCATTTGGCAAAGCAGCATATTTGATATCCATAGTAGATTCTGTGCGTTAGAAGTCCATTTACTCGTGTTCTCTAGAATTAAATTTTTATGATGATTCCTGGATTAAAAATTTCATAATCCAATGTGATATCGAAACGTTCTTGTAGGCCCCAGTCCCAGCAGTACCGAAGAGTTGGGCAGAGAGAACAACAATGGAAAACTGTTAGATATAGACACATTACTTTAATGTAACTTTTGGCCGAGACTCTTCATTTTATATTTTTACGGATTTAAGATTAGTTGAGAGTAGTGGTGGGGTATTTCCTGTTCAATTATAAAGAATTTGATTCCTGATCTTAGGATGTCCCAGCAAATTAAGATGTCTTTGATGGCAGCTTCACTGCTGTAGCCTGCAGTTTGTGCAAAGGCCTGTGATGCTTAAATTCCATTCCATTCGATGGATTTTCTGAACCGTGCTGATCCTTTTCATAATTAATATGGGAAAACTGGTGCTGACCCTATGAATGAAACTGCAAACATTAACTTGCCTTGGAAGAATCTAAATTGGAGTGTTTATGGGACTGCTTTAAAGTAAGACTGTTTGTTGGAATGACGCTTATATCGTTTGAAAAAAGTTAGAGAATTGGGTGTTCTAAAAGGGTAGAACTGTCTTCTTGACTAATAGCAGACAAATTTCATGCAAATTGCAATATTTTGTTCAGACGAAATCTAATGTTGCCGATTGTTCCTGTTCAATTTCCCTCTTTTGATTCTTCAGTTAACACAAAGGGTATTCGCATCCTATCAGCCGTTCATGAAAGACATTTTTTTTATTTTAGTGTAAAAACATCAAAAAGATAGATTGCTATAATTTTCAAGTCAGATTAAGATGCGCATCTCAGAAAATTTTATTAACTGCATTCGAAATCAATAAAGAAATATCAACGACACTCGAACTTAGATATTTATGAACTAGAAGAGCAAACTCCACCAATTAAGCCAATTCTTAGTTAGCCATGTAACACCTATTCAAATGAGGGAAATTCTAAATAAACCCTAACAATTTCTTTTAACACCTCATTTCTAAAAACTCTTCATTTTTACTCATTACACTCCGCACCTTAAATTCAAATTTTCATAAATATCCTCACACCCCATCTTCCTCTCTCTCTCACCCCTTTGATTCTCTCTTCCCTCAAACCTAATTTCTCAAAAAAATCAACCTAAAATCTAACTTAGATTCAAAGGAAATTAATGGAAATCAAGTTATAAAACTGCTAATCAGAGATAATTGATATGTTTTGTGTTAAGTTTGTCGTAAATATTTTATGTCCGTTCGACGAATTTAAAAACGAAGTAAAAAATAACAGAGTCGTCACCAATCTTTTTTGGTTATGTGCGATTGGTCACTTATTAAAACTTATCTTTTTAATAAAATTTATTAAAAAAGATAATTTATGATCTGCAAAATAGTCTGGATTCGGGAGTTAATTACGTGTGAGGAAGGATTAGCACCCCCACAGTGCTTGTTTAAAAACGGTACCACTTAATTACGTGTTATCTTATAATTTTAATAAAAACAGTCTTATTTTCAGTGTTTGAAAAATAATTTTCTTGAT